ATAATACATCTCATCACAAAAAGTGAATAACTATGAAAAAAAAAAAGAAAAGAATAAAAAAAATGTCTTGAATATGCTCCTACGAGTAGCATATCGAGAAAAAGAGTTTAAGAAATATTTTGAATTGATTTCATATTTTCTTGTAGCTATATAAAATGACAAGCTATTGATGAAAAAGAATAAATCTCATCCAACTAGATCTACTCCATTCTCCGAAGTGAATATGACAATTTATAATGATTTTGGGCATGAACGAAAATGTTTTCATAGCCATGGACGTGATTGAAATAATTATCATTATAATCATGATGACTATGATAATACATCTCACCACAAGAAATGGATAATTATGAAAAAAAACAAGAAAAGAATAAAAGATAGATCAAGTCGGTATTCTAAAAATGAAAGTTATAGATGTAGCATGAATGGACATTGGTCACGTACCTACCGTATACCAAAACACCTCATTGAGCTTTATCAAGTCTTGTTAAAAAAGAAAGAGTAAAATATAAAGCCAATTTTATATATCAAAATGGTGGTAATTGAAATTAATAAGTTGTTAGCTTTTCTCATTTATAAATAAGATGTTTTATATTTTTTCTAATTTCTATTGCATAGAAATAGATATAAATTTATTTTACTATTTATTTATTTATGTTTATGAAGAATTTATTTATTTTATGTTAATATTATATATGATAATATCAATCTAACAAAAAAATCCAGAAGAGTGACTATATTATTACTCGAAGAGACAAATTTTGAATGCTCTAGAAAAACAAATATATTATTGCTTGAAGAGATAACTTTTAAAGACTCTAGAAGAGTGAATATATTATGACTTAAATTGATAAACTTTAAAAGCTCTAAAAGGACAAATATATTATTATCCGAAATGATAAATTTTATTATATATGATGTATTATTCTCTCTAAAATCTCATAGAAATTTGTTAAGTTACAAAAATATTTGTTTAAATAGACATCATATCAAGACAACAAATGTGAAAAATATTGAATACTTAAATATTATAATTATATCGAATAAAAAAATATGTATTGGAGAAATTATCGACTTTCTCTTCTAGTCTTTGTTATAAACATTGAAATGATTGAGACAAATGCTATAGTAAACGAGAAGTTTAGTAATTCAAATACTTTTATTATGTGGCATGAACGAGTTTGTTATCTTTGGGTTTTTATGATGCAAAAAATTATTAAAACTTTATATGGACATCTATTAAAGAGCTCGAAGGTTCTTCAATTTAATAAATTTTCATGTTTTGCATATTCTCAAGGCAAATTGATTATTAAACCATCATCAAGTAAAATTGAGATTGAATTTTCAATATTTTTAGAATGTATTGAAGGTGATATATGTGAATCAATTTATCTCTCATGTGGATCATTTAGATATTTTATAATTTTAATAGATGCATCCATAAAATGATCATATGTATATTTATTATCTATTTAAAACTTGATGTTTTTTAGATTGCCAACTCAAATAATTCAATTACAGGTATAATTTCTAAATTATGCAATTAAAAAAATTCTTCTTGATAATGCTAGTGAATTTATTTTCTAAGCATTAAATGATTATTGATTGGCTATTAGAATAAAGGTTGAATAGTACTGTTGCTCATGTTCATATTTAGAAAAGTTTAGCAAAATCATTTATCAAAAGACTCCAATTAATAACTAAACCATTATTTAAAAACAAAACTCCATGTTTATATTCGAGGACATGCAATCTTACATGCAACAATACTTATTCGCATTAGACCCATAAATTATCGAATTCTCCCTTTTCAATTGATTTATGTTCATGAGCTAAATATTTCTTATTTAAGAATATTTTGGCATTATAGTAAATATCCATAATGCTCCTCCATAATGAACTAAAATGGGCACTTAAAGGAGATTAAGAATATATGTTGCATTTAAATCCTTTTTGATAATTAAATATCTTGAACCATGAATAAGAGGTATTTTTATAGCTTGATTTATCGACTATCATTTTGATGAAACAGTTTTTTCAATATTAAGGGAAGAGAATAAGCAAAATAAGCAATTGAAAATGGTAAAAAAAAAAAAAAAAGATTACATGGAGCACTCTATCTTTATATCATCTTAGTACGGAACAATATGAGCTAGAAGTTTAGAAGATAATTCATTTATAAGGTATTGCAAACCAACTACTAGAAGTATTCTCAAATCCTAAAAAAGTAACTAAAATGTATGTCCTCACTAAGAATGCTCCTATTATAATTGATGTCCTAGAAGGACATTTTATTAATATTATAGCAAATGAATCTAAAGCACGATTGAAATATGAAAGATCAATCAATTCTAAAAGTAAAAATCTTTAAAAGAATAGGAAAAATAATTAAAATAAAAATATAAAGATGTAAATATTGATAAAACGGTTCAAGATATTTCTATTAATATGCTTCGGAAGGAGTCCAAATGCTTGAGAAAAATCAATACACTTTTATAAATTATGTCAATACGAGAGAAAAAATAGAATCGAAAAAGAAATATTTATTAATAAGATTTTTGCACATAATGTTGTAATTGATATTTTGAATGAAAATAAGGATTCCGAGCCTAAATTTATAAAAGAATATCGACATAGAGATGATTAGCCTAGATGAAAAGAGCAATCTAAAGAGAATTATACTCTCTTACAAATGAGTAGTTTTTGAATCTACAATCAAAACACCTTAAGATATTTAGCCAAGGAGATACAAATGGATAGTTGTGTGAAAATGAAATAAGAAATAGGAGATTGTGAGATAAAAAGCAAGACTTGTAATATAAAAGTTTTCACAAAGACCTAACATTGATTATGAAGAGACATGTTATCCTAAAATGGATGCTATTATATCTTGTTATCTTGTTAGCTTGGAAAAATATATAAAAAAATTCATATGCATGCATTTAATGAATGTGATTACAATTTATTTATTCACTTGAAATGATATCTATATGAAAATTTTAGAAGGACTTACTATGCCCGAAACATGTAATACATATTCTCGAGAAATGAACTCAATTAAATTATAAAGATCTCTATAAGGATTATTTAAGTGTTTGTTTTATTACTTTAGTTTTTAAAAATTCAAATTATGCTATACTTTTTACATTTATTTTTTTATTTTTCAATATCTCGCTCTTTATTACTAACTTGTATACATGCGGTATAATTGCTTTAATAAATATTTATTGAAAGAATATTATAAAAAATAACTTTATTTGTTCATGTATTTTTATAAAGAAATTCGAAAAGGGATTTGTGATCATTGTTGTATATGTTAATGAATTAAATATTATTAAAACTCCTAAAGAGATTCGAAGCACCATAAGTTATATAAAAAAATAATTTGATGTGAATACCTTGGAAAAATAATTTTATCTCAACTTGTAGTTCGAGCACTTAAAGAATGATATTTTTATTCATTGGTCAATTTATATAGGAAAAGTTCTATAATTATTCTATATAAAGATTATCTATTGACTAGCTCAATAGTAATTTATTCACTTGATATCTAAAAAAACCCCTCGAAAAGATAACAAAGAGCTACTAGATCCCGAAGTACCATATCTTAGTGTCACTAGTGCATTGATATATCTTGTTAATAATACTCAATCCGATATAGCATTTTCTATAAATTTATTAACGAGTCATAATTCGGTTCCAATATGGAGACATTGGAATGGAATTAAATATTTACTACATTATCTCCGACGAAAAATTGATATGGTATTTATTTTACTCAAATAAATCAAAGTCAAATTGAATTAGTTATGTATATGTAGGTTATTTATCCGATCTATACAAAACTTTTTTACAAACGGGTTACGTATTTATATTTCGAGATACAACTTTATCATGACATTCTATGAAGCAAACTATAGCTGGTACATATTTAAATCATGCTAAAAAATATCAATTCATGAGGCAAGTCAAGAATGTGTTTAGCTAAGATTAATAACCTATCATATCCGAGAGACATGTAGTTTATCTATCGACGAAAACTTTCAACAATATCATATAATGATAATGTTGCTTGCATAATTCAATTAAATGAAGAATACATCAAAGTGACGAGTTCGACGAGCTTATTCATTAAGGCATTACCTATCACGGTTTGAGAAGAAATGGTTTGTAAGAGAGGCGTGGTCTTAAAGATTTTAAATAATGTTTTCAACGAGGAGAGCCCAACATAGAGATTAATATGTATAAGAAATATTGTATTCTTTTTCCTTCACTATGATTTTTTTTATTGAGTTTTTTCCTAGTAAGGTTTTAACGAGATATGTTCCTCGTAAAATAGATATTCAAATGGGAGTGTTATAAAACAATGAATGTCCATTTCATATTTTCACTATTCATTATTCTTAATGTCATTCAATTCACCATTCAATATAAGAAATTGAAAGAATGATGCAATTGAATTCAATTATTTATGCACCTTTAATGGTTCATAGTCTCTTTCAATTCTTTTTCTAATCTTGAAGCATATAAATAAACTTGATTGTTCGTTATTTTATATAAAAGTATTTTGTAGAGAATGAAAAAATTATTTGAAATTGTTATCTCTTGTATTCATTTCATTTTATAATAAATTTATTTTATTATTATTTTTTTAATTTTATTATTATTATCATTTCTTTTCTTTCATAACCATAGAGAGAAGTAAGAGAAATAATAGTAATAAAATTTATTTACTTTATCACAGCAAATGATCTACTGTTGAAAAAAAAATGAAAATCACGGAGCTGAAAAAGAAAATTGTCGTAGTCAAACGCTGTTGGGCTCATGATAAAAAGGCCTCCTCCCCAAGAAAAAGCAGCAACAAGCCCTTAAAATAGTTTCAATACAGCGCGTTTAGTGAGATAATCGGTAGAAAGAAAAAGAAACTCTCTCTCTCTCTGAAAAAAAAGAAAAAACCCTTAAGGAAAGTAGCGTCGTTTGCAATCGACCTCCATAACAGAATGGCCAACAGTAATCTCCCTCGTAGAATCATCAAGGTTCGTCGTCGATCTCCCCGATCCATAGCTTTCTCTCTGTTTGTTTCCCGTTCTAAGGAAAATATAGATTACGGAATCTGACATCTCTAAATTTCATTTCTCTCATCATTTATTACTTAATTATTACTCTATTCGATTTTCTGTCTGTTTCATAAATTTTATTTATTTTTATTTCTGATTCTGTTAATTTTGTTGATTTTATATTAATCCTGATCTAGCAGGAAACTCAACGTCTCCTCAGTGAACCAGGTTAGAAGTTGACACTCTTTCTTTTTTATTTCTTCTTTTTTTATTATTTAATTGTGTTTTTATGTTAATTTAGGTTTTTGAAGTAGTAATTTGTGTAAAAAACTGTGAAAATCATTTGCTCATTGTTATTTTACTTTGCTAGTCATTTAATTGCGATTGTATGTTGTTAATTTTGTGATTTATTATTGATACTGCAGCTCCGGGGATTAGTGCTTCCCCTTCTGAGGATAATATGCGATATTTTAATGTCATGATTCTTGGCCCAACGCAATCTCCTTATGAAGGTATTTTAGCTCATTTTTTAAAGTTATTTGTACCCTAGAAATGGGTATTCGAAACTTTGATTTTATCTTGATCATCATGCTTTATTTTTTTCCCCTTCTAGTTGAAATTAATAGCAGTGTGACTACAGCACCTAAAATATTGAGTTTCTTTCGGGATTTTGTGCTCTAAGTCTCCTCTAGCTGTAATTTGTTAATCCTGTCGCTCTTGATGTGGAACTGAATGCTTCTATTGTCTTAAAACTAGATTGGTTTTGTGGTCCAGTCCCAGCTAGTAGCCTTGGGAATGCTTGAACTCTTTTTCTCTTTATGACATTGTTGATAATTTCTGGGTGAGAAATGGGGATTTCGTGATTTAATATGTTCCTTTATCATTGTTTTTTTTAATTGGTATTTGCTGTATAAATAAACTAAACGAGATCAATGATCCGAATGCCATGGATAACTGTACTTGATTAAGAGAGCACGACATAAACTGGACAAATAATGCCTGTACTTAGTGATAATGAAAGCTGATAGTTGACTTGAAACAATTTTCCTATTGCATATTGCAAGTTGATGGACGTGTGCCAGCTATTCCGCAAGAAAGTTAATTAACTAACTAGGTTCAAGTCATTGATTACTAATTTGTTTGATCTATTGCTAGATAAAATTGAGGTTGGGCCATTTGGTTGTCCTCGTATATATCTTGATAAAGCATACAGTAGATACAGTTATTTATGAGCATAAGTTGCATCTTTGCTATGTTCTGAATTGGTGGGTGCAAACTGTGTGGCATGCTGTTGGATAACAATGTAAGCAAGGCCAAGGGAGCTGGAGATCTTCAAGTGCATTGTGTGGCATGGAAATCCACAGTATATCACAGTAAGAGGGATAGGTTTGCATGCACTGCGATGTGGCTAGTGTGAGATATTGTTTTGAATGGTGGTTGTGTTTATAGGAGTATTACATTGATCTTTACTTCACGAGCAGTTGGTGATGTGCTGCTGAAGCCATATATGTGAAGATTCTTGTCAGAGTTGAGAAAGGTGTTCGCTATTAACAACTGCTTCTTGCTTATTGGGACTTGCATGGGCAGTTAAACTGATTTGGTTCAGTAACTTAATGTTTGTGCAATGGATAATTTTAGCTCTGTCTCATTACTTGGTGTGCTTGGATGCCAAATGCCTGGGGTATTGCTTTCATTCAGCATTATAATCATCAGTGGCTGAAGCATTGTTTATGACTTATTAAAACAGAGAAGTTCTTGTTACATTTAAAAAAAAAAAAGCATTGTCGAATTTCCTTTCGAGGCAATTAATTACTTTTCTATGGTGCTTACAATTTTCAAGAATAGTTAAGCTGCCATTTATTATACTGCAGAATGGTAGATCAGATGAGAGGTGCCCCATGCATGTCCTTGAGAATTTTCCTTTAATGTGAAGGAACTTTTGTTCAGCTTCTTATAGGTTTGAGTTTGAGATAAGTGATTTTGAAGGGGATGACTGCAGTTGGCCATTCATTTTATGTCACTATTTGCTTGGGCCTCTAAAACTGTTATTGTGTATTGTAAAGAAATTCTTTTTTTCCTTCATATCATGTTAATCTCTTTTCTCTACAACTATTTGTGTATGCATATTTTGATGGGTGTCTTCGTTGTGTTCTTTGTTTAGGAGGGGTTTTCAAGCTGGAATTATTTCTGCCCGAAGAATATCCAATGGCTGCACCTAAGGTACCTTTTCCCATCATGGTGCTTTTCCGAAATCTTACTTTTATGTTATATTGGATGCTGAATTAAATAATTTTGGATTTTTTGCTAGGGCTTAGAATTCTTGGTCCTGGGTCTTGTGGGTTTTTTCCCCCTTTCCTGTCACTCCTTTTATTTTCATAGTATTGAATTTTCTTCTATTTTGATATGTTTTAATGCACTTCTTTTTTATTTTGGTGCTTAATTTTATTTGGATGTCTTGTCTTCTTTTATTTATCCTCTTTTAACTCCTATAAGTAGAAGGATAGGGTTTATAGCGGTATACCCAATGTTCCCAAGTGCATGTATACAATGTAGATTCTTAAAATTTAGAATCAGGGTGGAAATCAACAATTCAGGTTGAATAAGCATAGTGTTGGGAGAACTTATCAAGTGGCTGATCCCATTTTTCTTATTCATTTAGGGTTGAATAATACTATGTGGATTTTGTAATGAACATGTCTACATGAGGTTTGCTTGGGCCTGTTACGCATGTTATGAAACCCAAAAATTGGAAGTAAGCTAGAAACAACCAGTTTCATCAATTAATAAAATTAGATAATTCAGACCTGGGTGACCAGACCCTTGTGGACGATAAATTTTTTAAAACAAGCCAATCATCTTCTTACTTGTAGTTTAAATATTCTTTAGCATCCTAAGCTAGTCAGTGTAATTGAATTGGTTAGTGGTGTAGTTTTGAATTCAACCTGGAATCATACAAATTAGGCAATTTTAGTCTTTAAATATTGCCTGCTTATCTGAACCTGGACTAATTTACAAAGTTGGTCATATGCTTCTGCTTCCTGCAAGCTGTAACATTATGTGCATGTGTCTCCAATCTTTCCCCGTTGCATTCTCTTAACCAATGCCTTTTTATGCTGGGAGTTCTCAACTGTGACTTGTTTATCAAAATTTGCACAGTATTTTGTTTTTGCTATTTTTCTTATTATTACTCTGTTACAGGTTCGATTTCTGACCAAAATATACCATCCTAACATCGATAAGGTAGGCTTTCTTACCCCCGCTGCTCTTTTTTTTTTAATTTAAAGATTTTTTGTTTCTTTCCTCCAACGCTGCTAGTTTTTTATGTAGCTTGGAAGGATATGCCTTGACATTCTGAAAGACAAATGGAGTCCTGCTCTTCAGATACGAACTGTACTTTTGAGGTACTATGAGCTGCAATTTATGTTGTCAAACTTGTTATTGAGACTGACTCGATGTTGAAGCTTGTGGTGGCAAAGCATTCATATGTCAATTTATTAGGAACTGATCCCTAGCAATTTAAGGACTGACGAACTAAACATGAAAAAAAGATTTTTAACTTACTTCTACTGTTGTTTCTTTTCCCACTCCATTTTCCACCGAAGATTTAACTGCTACTGGGAGGGGGAAAAATATTAGAATTAGTTATGTATGAAGAGAGATTTTATATTTTAGACATGAAAATAATTAAAATTCTAATGTTGGGTTTGATAGCATCCAAGCACTTCTTAGTGCTCCAAACCCCGATGATCCACTTTCTGAGAACATTGCAAAGCATTGGAAAACGAACGAGGCAGAAGCTGTTGAGACAGGTAAGGTTGATATTTTCAGTTATTAAGTTATTGTACCAGTTTCTCTGGAATTTATTTTCCTCAAGCTTCATAGTTAACAACATAACAGGTGTGTTGGTTTTGTTCTGATATTTTGTTGCACACTTTTTTGTTGAACTCTGCAGCTAAGGAGTGGACTCGTTTATATGCAAGTGGTGCGTGATTGCATGGTGAAAAAAACTTCCCTTAAAATGACATGGGATGTATGCTATTGACTTGATTTGAAAGGAAATTTGGTAGAAATGATGTTTGAACAAGTTATAGTCTTAATATTTTTCAAAGCTTCCAGATACTGCTTGTTAAATTATTCTGTTGTTGGAAGCATCGTCTTTGTGAACTTGTATGATCGGATAAGATACGTGATTCATATCTCTCTGTCATTTCTGCTTCTGTCTCAACCTCTCTCTCTCAAGTGCAAGTTCAAAAATTTTACCTCAAATCTGAACCCTGGTAGTTATGATAAAGAAAAGCGATGCGCATAAACATCTTTATGCTTTTATCTTGGTCATGAAATTTCCAATTATTTTTCATCTCTAATGTCTCCTTTTTTATCAGGGTGTCTGAAATTGTTGAGCAATGTGGTTTATTTAGCCACTCCGAATGCTGCTGATTGAAATCCCCATTGCAACGTTGATCTTTTTGTGATGTCATCAGGATTCAGGAGGTCATTTGCCAATTGCCCACTGGACAACAACATAGGATGTTAGTTGCCTCTCGTTATGCCACAAACTCAAAACGTTTCCTTCCAATATAAAACTTCATCCTTACGAACAGATCTGGTATCATTAAACATATCATAATTTAGGTGATCTTAAATCATCCAGTGTGTGATGACTTCTTCGAGCTCTGAGCTCTCCCTACCTAAACCAATAATGAAATTCTCTCAAAGTTGAGAATAGCTATGCAAGGAAGGTTTACTCTCATCGACGTTTTATTGAATTTACGAACCCGAAAAAAAACAAAAGGTGAATGTTATTTTTGGAAAACAGCTACTCGGTGCAAAGGTTCAAAGTTCTTGGTTTTAACCATCCTCAGAATTGATATTGAGAGGAATGAAGACCCAAAAAGAGAGGGAAATCTTCATTCCGTCATCTTACAATCCAAGCAATGCAATCAAAGATCGCCAATAATAATAATAAGGTGGGGAGATGAGAATTTACAATGACCCAACAAATTAAGCTAACAAATATTTTCCCTTCACACAAGATGACTCCAAGCAGAGTCTCAACTAAGAAAACCCAAGAATCATGACCTTACCTATAAAAAAGAATCGGTTATATAATAAACCCATTAATATTTACAGAAAAAATCGCAACCTAATATACTAAAAACTCATCATTGCACGATCATGCAAGACCCTAAAACCTTCCTCATCAACAAAAACACTAAACCCAGCAAAAAGAAGAAAAAAAAAAAGAGAGACCATCAACAAAATAAAGAAGCGACAAACTTATCCTTCCTCCAGAACCTTCAACTTATCCATTCACGGAGTTGTCTGTGGGAAGAGAACAAGAACATAGGTTCGAGCAGCAGTCAAAGATGACAGTTATTGGGCTTTCTTAAAAGACTACTTCTTCTTTTAGAGCAAGCAGCAAGCCCGTATCTATCGTTCTCGATTTTTTTTTTATAATTCAAGTCGTTTTCTCCCCATTCTTTTCTTTCTTCTTGATTTTCTCTCTTTCTTCTTACTTTTCACTTTCTGAAGATACCAGAGAGGCTTGTTTTTATGCTCAAGTGAGTAACTGAATTTCCTTCCCCTCTCCTTTCAATTTAAATATAGACTGAGGAGGCGTTGATGTCAACAGTAACCGTTCAAAGCCTAAGCAATTTTGGGCATTTGCAGGCCCAATTCAATCCATATACAAGAAGGGCAGGCCTCTACATCAAATGGGCTTCTTATAGTGTGTGTGTGTGTACACACGATGGAAAATATATTTATTTCAAACCAAGGGTAAAATAGTAATTTTTCCTTTTCCTCCGAAGTGTTTATATATATATATATAGTTCGTAAATAAATAAAACAATATGGTTTTTTTATTCCCTTTCCTTCCTCCCATTTTCCTCCGTTTTACACAATGTTTAAACGCAATGTTTAAACTCTTTGGTTCAGAGAAAAATTGAATAACCACAACAATGCTACATTAAATAAATAAATTAGAATAACTAAAAAGGCAACATAAATAGTGATTAAAATGAGGAGTAAAGAAGAAGAAGAAGAAGAAGAAGGAGAGAATAGAATTGGATTGGACGCAGCGTTACTTGATGTTGATATCCTCCTCCTGATGAGAATCTAATAAATCTAGTGTAGTGCTGCTGTGTACGTAAACATGCAAATCCATAGCATACATTCACGCGACAACGCCTAAATTTTCTGACTCACTTTCACTTGTCCGAACCACACAAAATTTTACCTTTTTTCTTTTTCGTTTCAGCTAAACCGTACGGAATAGTAACTGTATCGATGAACAGTACCCGAACTGGGAACCACCCGTACTCGGTGTGGCAGGGTGCTCTTGCCTTTTGCTAATCTTCCATTTCCTCTTTTGCACTTCCTTACTTTCCATTTTGTCTTCTCTCTTAGCCTACTGAGTAAAGACTAGATTTAGGCCACGCGCTTTGCATTTCCATGTTATTTTTACCTCTCTGGTGGGTTCCACTTCACAGTCAAACTAATGTCGGTGCTGTGTTTATGGTTAAAATCATAAATGTGATGCCATCGCCATCATCATGCGCATGCCATTACTGCATCTACTTTCAATATCTTTCTGCTATTGTCTCCCCCGCTTTTTTTCCTCATAAAAGAACGTAAGAGAATAAACGACTTTGGATTCCATTTTTGGAAAAATACTCAATTGTTTTTAATAAATGCGGGAATTTCAAAATAAACCTAACAATTTTTTATAAAATAAAAGAAGATAATATAATATAAAAAAAAATAACTAATTTTAGGGGCTTCTAAATCAGCCTGAATATCACCTCAATTCACAGAATTTTAAAATAAGGCAAACTTTTAACTCAATTCTATGCAAAAATAAGGGTAATAATAATATTTGGGAAACAATAGATGCATGCATAAATAATTTTGGTATGTTCGTTATCATCCTGAATCATTCTACGAAAGCACCCAAATGGGCCTTTCGAATTTTCTAGTTTATTATATCTTGTTGTATTCTGGGGATAATAATATTGGATTTTTAAGGGTAAAAAACGAAAATAATGCAGCATGGCAATATCTGAAAAAAGAATCTGACAACCTGTACTTTTGGATCTTGCTATAGCATATTGTGATGATTACTAATATGTAGAGATGTATTGAGGACCAGGTGGGTGATAACTCCTCCTACTACTAATTTTGTGATTTGACGGTCCTCTACGCAATCAAAGACTAAAACAATTTCGTTCAGACCAATAAACCCTCACTCAATCACTCCTACAACAACAAAAGGAAAAGGCGCCTTTCCTTGCCACTACCACAGCAACGTTAACACATGCACGTAACTAGTCAACAACTACTTCACTTCCCATACTACCCTCCCAAGTCCAAAAACGACAGCATTCCTTTTCATTTTCCTTTTAAGAATTCCTTTGAAAAAAAAAAAGATGGGACACATACAATACACGTGGCTACCAGCCGACCAAGGCCCCCCAATCACTGTGCCGTCACCGCCAGGGCTGCAGATGTAGGCTAGCACCGACCCCAGCTGCACTTTTCGGATTTTTTTTTTTTTGGGCAGAGGGGTGTGTTATAGGTGGTGAGTAATGTGTTTATGGACGATAGTAATGGCCAATCATTTAAATGCTCACCTGTGAATGACCAAAAACCACCTTGTTAATAGGGGACTGACTGCCTCTCCTCCATGATATGCCCCCCATACTAGGGCAACCTCAAAAGTCTTGTGAAAACGCTGCCGTCTAATATTAGAGATAATGCAACTGAAGAACTAACACCCTCGCCAGGTAGTAGTCAAAACTTATTTGTGAGCTTTAGATACGAACAATAGTAGGTAATAGGATCCTATTATTACGTCTTAGACAGAGAGCGTGAGAAGGAAGATGCAAGATACGTCACAGGACATTTGACATAAACCTTTAGAAACCATACCCAGAAGGGCCAGAACCCCCATGAGTCATCACATCTCTATCAAAGAAAGATGGGGTGCATTATGTGGGAGAGGAGAAGAGCAATGAATTTCATCAACACTCAACCACCTAAATGCACTCCCTTTATGGGAAACAAAAAAAAAAAAAAAAAAAACCCACCCCTTCATTTATAAGCACATGCACTTTTCTAACTATACAGTTTAAAAGCGACATCCACCCTTCAATTAAATTACTCAAATACCCTAAATGGGCATCAAATGCAAATGTAGAACATGAGAAATGCGTAGAGTGAAAGGAAAAAATGGGAAATTTTTTTTTTTTTTATTGATTCATAAAATGGCTGGAAAAGTAGCAACAATATTAATAAACAACATATCCATATCCTTCTTTCATTATCCAAGCAAGTACCCGCCAGGCATCCAATCTCCCTCATGGCTTCCAATGTTTCTGTATATATCACATAAAATGTACAAAATCCTCTTCTAACAGCCTGCCACCCCCATTCCCTCTCTCTCTCTCTCTCTCTAAAAGATTACTACGGACCCAACTTGATCAATTGTACACATTTCTCTCTCTCCCCCCTGAACCCCCTCTTTCTTTTCATCTGAATGGAAATGGGGGATACAAGAACAGGCTGGACTACAATAGGAAATAAAAAAAGAGACAAAAAGATGAGAAAAAAGAATAACAAGGAGATTTGAGGAAGAATATGGAACCACAGAGCAATGAGGAATGAATGAATAAATTAAAACTGCAAAAGGTGAACTAAGCTATCTCTCTGGTTCCCTCTGGCATTGGCCGCTAATAGGTTTATTATGTAGCTCTACAGGTATCTGGTAGTCCTTATATGATGGGAGGAAGAGATTGGAAGGGCAGTGGAGAGTTCCCATCTAACAGGGGGTTTGCGTAGAGAGAAGTACATGTAAAAATTGGGAGGGTAGTAGTACACAAGTACAATCATGAGTTCTAAAAGCTGTAATGCCTCACCGAATGTTCCAACATATCATGACTTGGGCAGACAATCTCCTTCACTCGGTTACCGTTTTTGTATATCTTGAATGTTGGAACAATCCTCACATCCTCAACATTTGCAATTGCAGGATTCTCCTCCATGTCCACCTTTGAAAAGAAAAGAGCACATGTATTTAAATTAAGAAAAACACCCTTGGTTTTTTTCATTTCTCAAACCAATTTAAGGTCAGGTAGGATCCCATAACTTAATACAGCTGATGAGATTGAAGAGCTGGTCAATTTACCTTGAGAAAGTTTATTGATGGATACCGAACACATAACGTATCCACAAATGGAGATATTTGCTTGCAGTGCAAATTAGAGGATGATTTGAAATGAACTACTGAAACACCTGGAGTACACATTCAATTTCCATCAGAATTGAAGAACACAAAAAAGGAAGGAAAAAGAAGTGAGTTCAGGATGTGAAGGAAAAGCGTGCCTGGTAATGATATTGCAGCTCTGAACCGTTCAAGACCCAACACTTCCTCTACTTCACCACCAAACTTCATATTATACACTTCTTCTCCACGAGATTTCTTCAACGCAACTTGAGCATGAAATAGAGATTCAGCAACTCCACTGTCATCTGGAAGTTCCCTCCTCAAAACTTCATAATCTCTCACAGCATCAGCCCACCTTTCTAACTGCATTTTAAAAAAGCACATTAATTTCAGGAGTGAATATTTGAGCTGGTGGGCCAATAGATAGAAAAGCAATTCATACAAAGAAAGTAAGTCTTTTGAGGAAATTTTACCTTGCTGTTTGAGGCAGCTCTTCTAAGAAGGGCTTTTGTGTAGTTGGGTTGGATACGTAAAGCTTGGTTGCAGTCATTAACGGATCTCTCCCACAATCCAAGCTTATACCAACATGCTGCTCTGTTGCAATAGAGAACAGAGTTTGTAGGATCAAGCCTAAGGCCTTCCCCATATGCTGAGCAGGCTTCAGTAAACCTTTCTGATTTGAAGAGATCATTGCCGCGGGTACGAGCTCTGGCTACTAAACGCACATTTTTAAGCAGCACTGCTACTTCAACATTTCGTGGATCAATCTGTCCAGCCTTCTCAGCAGCTGCAACTGCATTCTCAAACCTGCAAGGCATCATCCATCATTTAGTCTCACACTCTCCAAAACTTTATGTTATCTTACACCTTGAAATGGTTAGAAATTGTAAACTCACCTTCCTAGAGCCATCTCAATCTGCGCTCGGACCAAGAAAGGGTAAGCTTCAGAAAGCATCCCAAAAAATCTAGTCTGTGACCAGTTGGCATATGGTTCTAATTTTGGAACTTTCGATAAGCAATATTCAGCATCTTCAAGTTGGTGGAGCTTCAAAAGAGCTTCAGTTCTACACATAAAGAGCTGTAAATTCAATTTGAACCAGTTCAGACATTCGTTAATTTACTCTCCACGTCAATTTTGTCAATTTACACAGTAAAAGTGCAGATAGCCATTTTACCTGGGGGCAATAGTCTGCTCCAGCAGCAATAGCAGCATCAGCTTCCCTTAATGCACCTTTCCAGTCGTTAACCTTCCGGGCATCTGAACATTTGCTAAGATGTTTCTCTACTAATTGCAACTTATGCAACTCGGCAGGATCTGGATGCTGCCCTGGGAAGCATAGGTGCCTCCTAGCACCCTCAACCTGTCCTAACCTGCAATAAATATCAAACCAGTACAAGACCAAAATGGATGAATAAAATTTACAAATGGCTCAAGACAAAGCTGCAGAATACGCAAGACAATAAATCCAAAGGAAAGATTATTGGTCCTAGGATGAATCAACTGTTATAAACATTTCAAGACTACTTTATTATAAGAGTGCAACAAAATCAAGGCTCGATAAAATTTACAAATGGCTCAAGACAAGCTGCAGAACATGCAAGGCAATAAATCCAAAGGAAAGATTATTGGTTCTAGAATGAATCAAATGGTTTAAACATTTCAAGACTACTTTATTAGAAGAGTGCAACAAAATCAAGGCTCGATAGAATGGTATAGATTGTTCAGAAATAACTCAGTATGCAGCAAGCCAGAACCCAAAACAACCACAGCTAAGTTTCTAGGTCATCAATACAAAGAAACACGTTAACTCTTAACATTCTTAGAAAAATAACACTCTGGTTGGGTTCATCAATCCATTTTAGAACCAGGAAAAGCAGTAGGATCAACAGCAAGTGAAGACAAAATTAGAGAATCCTAAATCCAAGGAGCAAAAAAAAAAACACAGAAATAGCGTCAACAGCCATAACAAACAAATGAATCAGCTTTGGTATTCGATCAACAGACTATTCTCACCATGTGGATTATCACATTATTAGAAGAACTTGCTACAATCCACCACAACTCGTTAAGTTCTCAAAACATTTAGAAGCTGTAATGCAATCACCAAGCATCTCAGAAAAATGAATGTCTCAACACATTCAACATCCTATCAAATCCTAATCAATACACGTCAAAACATAACCACCGATGCAGACCATAAGATCACAAACCATCACCTTCACCTACTAAATGCTCACAAATTCAGCAATCATAAACTAAATGAAACAGAAAGATTAAAACTTCACCAACACGACTTAGAACTTAATCAACCTAGACTCGACATCATCATCATCAAATTCTCTAAAAGCAATCGAATTGTCAAAATCAACAAGAAAGAACAAAACTTTGAACTTCATTTCAGAAATCTAATGACCAACAAATAAGCATCACCAACGATGCAGATCATATCACCGCTAAAACTCGCAAATTCCTCCAAAAAATAAGAACCCCACCACATAAACACCCGATAAAAAAGATAAAATCAAGCCCCCATCAACGAACTCACCTAATTAACAAAGCCCCCAACCTCTGATGTGCTCTCCAATAATTAGGATCCAACCTAACAGCCTCCTCACACTCTTTCACCGCCTCCACAACTCTCCCTAATCCCATCAACGCAGCCGCCCTATTACTCCTGTAAGCAGCATTCCCTGGTGCCAAAGCAATAGCCTTATCATACAATCCCAATGCCTCCCCAAAACACCCTTTTTTATACATCTCATTTCCAGCCTTCTTCACCTCCTCCGGATCCACAGTCCCTCCACGCACACTCCAAGCATTCCTACTTGCTGAATTAACAACATCCGAGTTAGCACATTTTGCGCTCCCTCCTCCCCGCATTATGCTCCCGTGACCATAATTCGCTGTACCGGATCCCAAAACATCCGGTTTCGCACTCCGATTCGCCATTCCCATGCCTGTCTTCAAGATCCTGCCCGAAGGACAAATGTTCCCTGTAGGTAACACATTAACTATTACCGGAGAGTTTACAGCATTCTGGTAGCCAATTTGACCCGAATAAGTTAAAGAGTCGGATCTAGAATGACCCGGTTGACCCTTCTTGGCACTAGTTGTGGGGCTGCTTTCACTTGAGTTTGATAGCTCTCCTGAATGGTTGTTATTGTTCGGTTTGTGAAGTGGGTTTTGGAAACCGGATGCGGATCCGGAGGAGCTGGAGCTGGAGGAGGTGGTGGTGGCGGTGGTGGTAGCTGTGAGTCCACCACGAGTACGGAGAGGTGAAACTGGAGAACCCAGATCGAGTTCACGGAAATCAGGCTTGTTGGCTTCGAGTGAAGAGAGTGAGTCACGGAGTTGATCAGTTAGTGAGTTGCGGTCTAAGTCTCCTCCAATGGAGGGTTTCGCTGAATGTGACATGTTTTTTAATATTAAATCTCTTAAATAAAAATAAAAAATAAAAAAATTTCTTGAATTTAGTTATCTCTGTTTCTGGGCTTCTGATGCTGTGTTTTTGATGATGTTAGAAATGTGAGCGAATGGAGACTGGTGCTGGAAAACAAGGAAAGGAATCCAAACTGAAAAATGTTGTCTTTGAAGAAGACATGAGAGAAAAAAGGAAAGAAAAGAAAGAAAGCAAGAAAGAGATGGGGATCTCGTGATGTATAAAAGGAAGAAGCAAAGAATGAATGCGAGAAAGTTTAGGGAGAGAGGTGTGAGTGTTGGGCTGTTTGGTTTTCCAGGGAGAGAAAGAGAAAAAAAAAAGAAAAGAGAGAAAGGAGAGAGCTTTAGTTTTATTTTTCCTTTTCTTTTATTTTGGAGCTTCACCTGCTACTTCACGAGACAGGTTTCCTCACTTGTTGTTATTGGCTTCTCTCGCTCTCTAATCCTCCTCCTCTTTCTCTAACTAGCAAAAAAGAATCCTTTTTCTCTCTCTATATCTCTCGCCTTGCTTGCCTATTCCTCTTCTGTATTTTTTTAACGCAAAATCTTTAACTCAGTAATTCCTTTTTATTTGTTTTTATCTTCACTTGGAAATCGAGTCACACTTTGACTTACATGCCTACGCTATTAATCATTGTTGAAAAACAACACGTAAAACATCATAAAAAATAATAAATATTCGTCCATGAATCAAAACATCGAAAAATAAATCACTTCATAAAGCATTAAAACTGCTAAAAAAATCAAAATTCAATTCCATGGAAACTTACCGTTAAAATTAAGATCCATCGGATGATAAAAATTGATATATTATGTAAATCTAATTTTAATAAGTTTATATCAAATTTTACTTATATTTCAGATTCGATCTTATATAAATTATGTTGGATTGATATAAATAATGATGAATTTGATGATTCGGATTAAATTATCAAAATTACTATATTTTCATGTCTTCACGATCTAATTTTAATTTTGTGAAAAAAATTAATATTATAGAAAAAAAAACCAACATAATTCATTATATAAATTGGATAAACATATCACTAACATCCAAGAATTCCTAATTTACTTGTGTAGAAAGAAATTTCGTACCAAGTGATGCGATTCAGTTTTATAAAAATATCTTTTATTGACTCTATAAATATTGATTTTATACAAAAACTAAAACAAGCATGAGCAAATAGTATTACACAATCCTCATGTTCAATTTATTAAAATTGATTGATTTTTCCTCCCTGAAGTTCTAATCCTTACCTTTAACTGAATGCTGTTATTTCATTAACTTATTAATAATGACTTTATCAAATAGTTTGAATTAACATTATAATTACAAATTTTTTTATTGTATACTTTAAAACTTTAATATGTTATATTGATTTTATAATATTTATGTGATTTATCATGTTATATTTTTTTAGAAGATACAGTATTTTACGTGGGTAAAATGTTATATTAACATTATTATTATTATTATTATTATTATGCCAATTATTCACAATAAAAAACTATCTACTTGAAATGTGATGAATAAAGGGGGAGAGCATGTCGTTTTAAATTATGGGACACAAAACTAACACATCTTCGTCAATTACTAATGATATTAATGGCATTGAAACTCTAGTTCAAGAAAAGGGGGAGGGAGGGAGCAATTTAATCTAATATTAATATTACGTTTCATTCCATGAATGACGAAAGCATCATACGCTTTTGGAAGCTTCATGCTCTAATCCTTCCTAATTTTCTTCTTTTTTCAAAAGAACAAAACTGGTAAATGAGAATTAAGGCAAACATGGAAACTATTCCTATTTGGTAATGTCAAAATTCATTGCACTCGTCAACGAACGTGCCAAAGATGGCGCGTGGACAGAGAAAATTGCCAAAAAAAAAATTAATAAATAAATAAGGCTTTGCTTACGTTTTTTGACTATTTTCTTCAAGGATGGTCTGTTGGCGGAGAAGTGCGCAGGTTACGCCCCTTGTGCTTTTCGGCTCATGTTAGAAGCAACCCCTCCATTTCATGCAATTAATACTGTGTTTGTGCACACCCACAACAGCAATGAATCGCTCGTCTATCCCTAAACAGACCCTTTCTCCTCCACGTGTCGACCATCACTGGATCTTGACCCCACGTTGAATATACCCCACTAAGCCAACACAACACAACATCGCGTCACACTCAAATAAACACGATTTGTGGACCGTCGATTTGAGGCAATCCCCATCGTAAATAGGACACATGACCGATTTATCATGGGACCCACGTTTGGAAATTCGTGTGAGTAGGCACAAGCTAGAGTTTCTACTTTTCTCACTTCTATTCAGCCTAGATTCATGTGCTTTCTAGTGCTAGTAGATTTTTTTTTCACTTTCTTGCGCAAGCCAGAAGCCAACACATTATTTCGATACCAAATAGGAAATCACTAAAACACCCTGTCTTCGTATGCCATTCTTATCCATTTTTCACGCACTAAAAATTTACCCAAATTAAATTACATCTCGGATTTCCATAAAGAAAAGCATTTGCATTAAAATTGGACAATGCCTAGAACTTTTACTGTCTTTTATGATTTTTTTTTTAATAAGAAAATGCAGCTAGCTTGTTCGTTAACATTATCTAAAAAAATTTATGAATTTCCCTTTTTTTTTAATTGACGACTTTAAAAAATCAATAATATCAATTAAAGCTATTGAATGAGCACTTTTTTTATATAATTTTACAACATTTTTAATTCTCAAGGGCATTCATAACTTTCGGGTTTTTATAGCTCAAAAAATATATAAAAATTACTTTCACAATTACTAACAATTCTTACTTAATAGAAAACAGATGTAAAAATAAAAAAAGAATGAACAAGAAAAATTGAACCTATTCAAAAATATTCTTATTAGTTTTTATAATTTGAATGTCATTTATTTTTATTTTTTTCTCTTCAAAATAAATTAATGAAAAAATTATTGTTAATTACTCCTGGTCACGTTTGATAACGAAAGCATTAAAAATATTGAATCTCATTCCTCATAAATATAAGATCCTAGATTTTACTATTATTATCTACATCTTATGATCCACTGCTTCTTGTTATTTAATTGAAAGATTTATTTGACATTGTTGTCTTGTGTTTTAATATTATGTTATGGTGTGCACTGTTGAGTTTCAAAAATCATTAGTAAAAGCAATGTTTGATATTGAAATTTTAATTTTATGAAAATTATATTTCTATTTAAGAAACAGTAATTCCCACAATAAATTGTTTTATTTTTTTATTTAAACCGGCAAAGCTCGCTTAAAAGTAAAATATTTTCTTTTTAAAACGTCATGTACTTTCCTTTAAATTTTTTTTTTTTAAACAGAAATATGGTGTTTTAATTTAAAATCAAAATAGTTTCCTTTTAAAGTATCATGTATTTCCCTTTTAAACAAAACAGATTTTATCTCAACACTGTTTTGTCACAAAAACCAGGCGCAAAGTTGAAATCCGGGCAGCCAAAGAAGCTTGCCATAGAATGTATGTTATTTGACTTAATTGCCCCTGTATATTAATCACGGATATGTGTCAAATTAGTTAATAAAAGCGCCAGATGTGGACTTCGATAGGCTCGAGGAAGAGTGAAAATGGCAATGTTGTAAATAGAGACTAATTTTTGTGGTGTCTTGGTAAATTAGGGTGCAACAGTGGCAACGCTAGACAGAAGTAGCTGGCCACGTGCAATAGGGAGTGGACTGCCAGCTGGCCCCATACAGAGGAAGCTCACAGTGGCATCCAGCTAAGCAAACAACGGAGGATGGTGATGACGTTAGGAGGATACCGTGAATATTCCCAAAAATAGGAACGCTAGGTTGTGAATTGGGATTTAACGGGGTTAACGGGAAAGAAAAAGGACAGTGACAGGAGAGAAGGAGACCATATCCAGTGGTGGCAGAGGAGAGGGAATGATGAGCAGGCGATCCATTTCTTGCCAGGTAAGCAAATCCACACCTTTTTAAGAGAGAAGAAGATGGAAGGGAAAGATGTAATGCTTTGTGGTGCATATAAAATTAATCATATGTGATGTTGACCTTAATTAAAATATTGCTAACATTAGATTTTGTTTTCATCAATTAATTGTTAGTGATAGAGAGTTGTTGGCATAAAATGAGTGTGAATTTGCAAATTAATTGTTATAATTGTTATTTTAATTAGAATTTTTTCAATACTAATAATTTATTGTTTTCCACACAAATTTATTTATATAATGCTAAAAATAATAGTTTTTTCTAATATAACATTGATTGATATTGATGGAATATGCTTCATTTTATAATTGAATAATATATGAAAGGAAAGAATGTGGTATTCAACTATGCATGACAATGATTCCTTTTTTTTTTTTTCAAGTATTGTCAAAAAAAAAAATTTAATGAGCAAAAAATAAGAATACACACGGCCTTTTCTCGTTTCGTATTGATCTCTAAAATTGTGGCATATTATTCTTAAAATTAACAATCTTAATTTGTTGTAAACTAATTTTGAGGTTTCGGAGTGTTTTAACTAATCCATCGAATTTTTCTTTTTTTATGAAAAAAAGCTATTATGTGATTTAGTCTACACACATATAATTCATTAAGATCAAAATATTCAGCTTTTATTCACATGAAGTTTCATTTGATAATGCTTGTCGAATTTTCATTAGTTCATAAATTAGACAAGGACAAACCTTAAAAATACCACTTAGTTATAGAGGTAATTAATTTCAAGATTACTATTAGAAATTCTCAATTAAGAATTTCCGTTCATTTTTAAGGTCTTCTATTTATATTTCCATCGACAGTCATTGAGGGTGATATTGTAGCATTTTGGAGTCTGAGGGCCAGGTTCAAACTATAGTGATAGTTGGGGGGCGTATGTAATTAAGCCTCGTTAAATCACATGGAAATTACTAAGCACATGGTTCTGTTTAATAAAGGCCTTTTTTTTTTTTTAATTCGGTACTCATATTCTAAAATAATAAATTAAGTTCTTGCCCCATCCCTTTAGAAAAATTGGTTCAAAACATTTGCTAATGAGTGAAAGATCCCTTTTCTTTGCATTTAGTACGACTCTTTCTTCATGAGTATTGAATCTGAAACAGCTTTATTATTCTAAAAAAATCAATTTGTATTTTTGTCTAATATATCTCTTACGGAGCCGAGCAGCTTCTAGGTTGTCATTTCCAGTAAGGGAGCAAATGGTATCATTCTTTCCAATCATGGACTAAATGAAATAATATTATTGCTTGTTGCAATTCCTTTCTTTTCTTTCTAACGACTATGTTAGTTGATCTCTCATGAGTCCTTATTTATATTTTATTCAAACGTCAACACGAACAATCTTAAAGTTCCCCTTCTTGTCTACGAGTGGTGGGGTCCACCTAGAAGGTGACGAGTGGTCAGTCACAGCCCCTTAATTATTTGGTCTAATCCTTCACCAAGAATTTTTTTTTTTTAATATTTTAACCATTTCAATTATCTAAACAAAGATCGTCAATTCCGTTCTGGATACCGATTTATTTTTGTTAATGGTATGAGATATTCAATATCGGTGCATTCCAGCATTCCTTTTCAAGATACTGTGTGTGTATATATATATATATAAAACATTCGAACTAATATTTAAAAATATATAATTTTCAACTCAAATATAAAGATAAATTAATTTCAAATAGTGAAATACAAATAAAATATGAATCATTTTAAAAAAATCAAAATTTACAATATTTGTAAATATTTAAAAGAAATTAACATGCGTTCAACACAAACTAAATGCCAAAAAGAATAAGACTAAGAAATTATTGTCTAGTTATATATAAAATTAAAAATACTTACAATTTCACATACAACCTACTAATGCATTATGATGTCATTTATAATCAGTTAGTCATCAACGTATGTATTACATTATTTCTATTATTTTTTGAGAAACATGTATAATGCATAATTAAAATGTTAGGAAAGAGAAGAGTTGTAAAAAGAAAAAAGTGAGGATTTAGTCCATGTATCTTGGATGATTTTGTAAGTCAATCACTTTAAAAATCACAAGTTAGTCTGTTGTGCAAAGTTGACTGTTAATTTTTTTATAAAAAAATTCTAAATTATATTTTTTAAATGCATTTTTAATTTTGGGCGTGATAGATATAATTAGAAAATTAGATTACAAATGAAGGATAGTTTATATGTGTGTGTGTGTGAATAAATAATAGTTTATATGTGTGTGTAAATAAATAATTTAATTATGATAAAAATCAACAAAATTTCAATTTTATCCTTATTTTGATCCGGAACGGGATTAGTGGAGCACATCTTAAATATGTCAACCAATATTTTTTTTTCAAGAGCAAGTAACAATATCTTGGTAATTTATTAATCAAACGTGAAAAAGAAACAAAGGGACAAACCAACCTAGCTCATATTTTGAAAGGACAAAGATAATTGAACTCCTAATGAGATAGAATAGGTTATCGAACATAGTAATAACTACCTATTATCTAAAGGAAAGATCATAATCATATTTAGCTATTGTTATAACGAGACTTGCATAAAGGAGAAAAATTAAAAACAATCAAACAAAACTATTTCCCGTATGTAGCTAGTCCATAATTGTCTTTCCGTAGAGCCCTCGAGCAACGAATCGATAAATCTGCAGTTGAGAAATAAAGCACCGGTCCTCTATGTCAACCAATATTTGGTTGAGATATTCGAGAGAAACTAAAATAAATTATGAGCGAAATAAAATTGATTTTGTTTTGTTCGTTTTTTGAGGAGGTATGAGATACATTGGTTATTTCGAACGTAACGGACTAAAACTAACAACTATAATTTTGATGACAAATAAAATTCTCTAAAATCCTCAAATCTGAATTGTCCGTATAGGAATTGATTATATCTCCCACACATAGATGAGTTTGAGCCATTATAAAGCAATGGGAGAGTGGGTTGCACTCGCTAGGTCCCGTTGATGGAAGACCCAAAATAGAAACAATCACTAAACCTTTATTTAAAGAGCATTGTTACGTGACATCGGTGATGTAAAAAAAAAATTTATCATAATTTTATAAAGATAGTGTTTTTTTAGAAGAATACAATAAAAGATATTTTATTTTAATAGATATTATATCATTTAATATTTTTACTTTTCAAATTTACAACTAAACCCTTTCTATTTTTGAAAATAACGTATGTCATCATGGTATCACCTAACATTTTTCTTAAATATGTGTGTGTGAATAAATAATTTAATTATGATAAAAATCAACAAAATTTCAACTTTATCCTTATTTTGATCCGTAACGAGATTAGTGGAGCACATCTTAAATATGTCAACCAGTATTTTTTTTTTAAGAGCAGGACGATATCCTAGTAATTTATTAATCAAACCTAAAAAAGAAACAAGAAGACAAACCAACCTAGCTCGTATTTTGGGAGGACAAAGAAACCTAAACTCCTAATGAGATAAAATAGGTTATCGAACATAGTAATAACTACCTATTATCTAAAGAAAAGACCGTAATCATATCTAGCTAATGAAGGAGAAAAATTAAAAACGAATCAAACAAAACTATTTCCCGTATATAGCCGAGTCCATAATTGTCTTTCCGTAGAGCCCTCGAGCAACGAATCGATAAATCCGCATTTGAGAAATAAAGCACCGGTCCTCTATGTCAACCAATATTTGGTTGAGATATTTGAGACAAACTAAAATTAATTATGAGCGAAATAAAATTGATTTTGTTTTGTTCGTTTTTGAAGAGGTATGAGATACACTCGGTTATTTCGAACGAACGGATCGACACTAACAACTATAATTTTGATGACAAATAAAATTCTCTAAAATCCTCAAATCTGAATTGTCCGTATAGGAATTGATTATATCTCCCACGCATAGATGAGTTTGAGCCATTATAAAGCAATGGGAGAATGGGTTGCACTACTAGGTCATGTTGATGGAAGACTCAAAATAGAAACAATCACTAAACCTTTATTTAAAGAGTACTCGTTACATGATATCAATGGTGTAAAAAAAATCATCATAATTTTATGAAAGTAGTGTTTTTTTAGAGGAATACAATAAAGGATATTTTATTTCAATCGATATTATGTCATTTAACATTTTTACTTTTCAAAATTATTTCTAAACCCTTTCTATTTTTAAAAATAATACATGTCATCAAGTATTTTTCTTAGTTAAAATGAAAAAAAAATCAAAATAAATGAGGAAAACAAACAATCAACATGCGACCACATAAATCTACATACAAGATCTAGATCTATAGACACAAGATGAAAAATCAGATAATCTAAAATTATAAACAAGAAAAAACAGAGGTCGATGGAGCTATCGACGACAATTAAACAACTGCCTTAGAGAAGATTATATATATATATATATATATATATTAAAGAGAGATCCCTATCAACTCTTGTCGAATTGCATATGATAACAATAAGTTATCTAGTCTTATGAATTTCCGAGAATTCCCCTTTAATAAATGATGTATAAATAGTTTAATTACACATTCAATAAAGGTAATGCTTTTCACAACTACATACATCTTAAAAAATTCTCACCGTGTTTACATCGAGATCAAATTTATTGCCTCAATTTATAACTAATGCTTACAATAATTACATGATTTTTAGGGACCCGAATCAAGATTTTAGAAAATATATATTTTTGTTAATATTATAATGTCCCAACCATCAAGATTTGAGATTCATGTTGTAGCCATTCTTGAATTGATGAGATCATATTAAAA